ATGATCTAGACAATTAGTTTCGTTTTATTGCTCCAAATAATTTAATATTTGAATTTCATATCTTATAGGTATTTATAAGGAAACTCATAATTCGGAATTTACAAATGTTTATTCACTCGTCCATATAGTCTTTCTATTTATTTAGAAACTGTAGACGTATGTTGCTTTGAAGAATTTATATCGAACTATTATGAGGTTAGCTTCTTTGTTGCTTTTTTTGTACATAGATAAGTTTAAGATTTTCAGTGAAAGCACAAAAATAATCCTCAAGAACGAAAAAGTAATAAACAAAAGGAACTGGATTCGAATTACCACTTCTATTAAATACCAAATCATTATTTTGTTGCTTTTTAAGATACAACAAAGTTTTAAAATGAGATAATTTATTATATTTCTTATCAGTCATTTATTAATATTTCAAAAGCTTACATCGAAATTTTTAAAGAAAAAAATGCTCAAAGTTGTTGAAATAGATAGCGAAAAATAAGTTTTGTCGTGGTTTCCACTCTTCTCGTTATCTGAAAGCAAAAAAAGAGATTTTCAATCACTGAGTCATAAACATAAGAAACCGAAGAAAAAAGTCTTCACGGAAAATTCAGCTACTAAGATGGATTTTTCAATTTCATTTAAAATTTCAAGCAAAACGGTTAATGTTAAGACCACCCTTTTGATATTAAAACTATAAAATTATAAAAAAAAAAACTTAGTAATGTTCAATTAATATTGGGAAATTCACTATGATTTTCAAATGTCATCGCGGGATATACATCTTAATTGCGTCAATTAAATATTTTTTTATACTGCTATAAATAAATATTATATTTAAATTTAGAACACAAATAATTATTACAATAACTTATCAATGTTTTTCATTGTGACCACAGCAAATTTCAATGACGAAATTCGCCTTTTACAGAACTAAGTATCAAATGTCAAACAACAAACAAACTTCACGAAAATACGTTCTTTATATCATAAATTTTAATTCAGTTGCATTCACTTAAAATACTTTCGCAATGTTAAAGAAGGTCAGGGTCATCTACAATAAAGTTTTTGACATTGACTCTAAAAAAATGTGTCATATTTACATGCACATATGTTCCGATGTTTACACGCACAAGTATAATTTAATTAGTGATAATAAGAACTATTCACGACTACGAGCTAAGTGCTAGTCACACAAGTGTTTAAATAAAATAGTATGGGATATAGCTATGAAAATCCCGTGACCTACTTGTAGTATTTTGAATGAAGATTTAGAAAACGCTGAGATAGATCACAAGCGCGCCAAAGTGGATTGAAAGATATATACTTGTATAACAAATATGTTTCTATTAATTCCCTTTACATTAATTGAAAATGTCTAACCTTTCTTATCCTTTAAACGTTAATGGTCTTTAAAATTATGAAAAATACTCCTCATTAAATCGTCATACCAATAAACAAAGAGGCTGAGAAGTTTTGCTGGCGTAATTTACCACATGTTTTAGCTTTTAAGAAGCGGTAGCCCCAAACCTAAAAATTTGATTTTGTTACTTTCAAATACAACCATAGAAGCTCTAAAATTCTTGTTATTCATTTATTTTCACAACAATTCCTTTTTTGGCGAAAAAATTTTCCTGATCTTTAACCTTTCACTAGTGGTAATTCAAAATAGAGAGAGTTACCCTTTGGAGTGAATTTGGAGCCATTGGAGATCTATCAAAATCGACAGTATGACTTGACTCTGTTACTTTTTTCACGATGAAATACCATCGGCAGAAGTTATTGTAGCTGAATCCAGGTTCAAAATTAAAATCGCATGTGTTGAAATTGGCTCACAGTAATATGCAATTTCGTTGCACAATAAAATTAACCTTCGTCAAATGAAATTGTCTTTTGTCTTTGTTTTTTAATATACTAACTATTAATTTACTAAAAGTGTTACTAAGTATGTAGGCATTTTTTCGTTGACAAATATTTAATTTTTCTATTGAAGATTTTAGTACATAACTCAAAAGCACAGGGAATATAACGAGTTAAGCGGCTGTAGCATGAAGCTTTGAGATGTCGTTATCGTTATGCAGGGTTAAATTCCTCTCACCACAAATGGGCGGAGAAGTTCGGTCAAATTTCTTTCATCTTTCTCATTTAGAAGATAAATATTAATGACATACATATTAAAATTTTGAGCGCGTTTTTCTCCGCTTTTATTTATTTGGACTTATGTTGTTCTTCTAGTAAACAAAATATATGACAATTGCGTTATATTATGAAACCATCTTAGGACAATGCGTTCAGTGAGAAAACAAAAGCAGCGTAGGTAGAAATAAATATTTTTGGTATTCATTTGAAATTTTTGTTAGAATACTCGAAATATTTTCATACAGCTAATAAATTAAATAAACCTATATTTGAAACTACCAGCATTTATGAAACGTTTTTTAACGGTCACTAGTCTAGAATACAATTTCCAACTTATAAGCTTCGCCTACATTTATTTCATATACAAGATTTTGTGATCCCGATGTTCACCGCATGACTTGGGATCAAAAAAATTTCTTTACGTATGTACATCTCTAGTACAAGTGTAGATATATTTATATAAAAACATAATGGTAAACACCAATTGACACACATTTCACCAAAGCATGCAAACAAAGTATACAAATACATCACGATCTGTGGCATTCTAAGCAGGTCAGTGTGTACTCAATCACATACTTACATACGTGTGAGTGCATAAAAGCGAGTATTTGCTGTAAAATATTATATATTAGTCTGGTGTGCGTCTGGCCAAGCCAGCACAACAATGCCACACGCTCTGGTCACAAATGAAGCATAATCGAATACTTCCGGCCGGCGAATGAAACCGAATTCGTAATCGAAACTACACGTTAGTTATATCTCAGTAAAAAAAAAACAAATGACGTTAGTGAGTGGTAATAAAAACATGACAGTAGTGGCAGCCGAAGAAGCGAATGAACTTGTGCGATTACATCCACGCTTGCCTGAGAGGGCAAGAAATGCAAGCATGCATATTACATGTGCGCTCACACATACATGCATACATACAGGTATGCGGCTATGTAACCTAGAGACTCAAACTTGAATTTTCACAAATAATTGTGCATGCGTACATACACACACACACAGATATGTTTATATAATTTCATATATATTTTTCTTATTCGGCTTTTCATATTTTCCTCAATAGCAGTTGATCGTACTTACATATAAATATATATAAATATATATATATATATACCAATATATATGGTTAAGTTTATGTGGAATATATTAAGTGGGTTTTTGAGTCAATTATTGTGGTCAACGTATTAAATCGTTGAATTCGTTGTCATTGGTACAAAGTGTTATAAAGAGGTAACTTTAGAGAGTGAAAAGGTAAATTCAGTCACACCATTAAAATTTTACACATACATATAGACAATAATCGTATGTCATATTAGATTTTTCGTAAATTTCATTATTCAACTATTAACTTTTAATTAAAATTAGCTTATTAAGATCCAAAATTAAGTCCCGAAATAATTTTGTTAAAATTAGTATTGCAAAAATCTTATATATTTGCTTAAAAATATATTATCTAAAACATATATATATACATAGGGAATATTTTAATTAACGAAAAACTGGTCAATTAAAGGTATTAAATATATTATCAAGTAATTAAAAAATTTTCTATTCTAAAATATTTCTATAATGAAGGCTCCTTTTACATTTTTCGGTAGGCATTAACAAACGTCTTATGTTTAACATACATTTTCGAATATTTTGCTCAATTTCACTTCTTTAAACTTTTCTAAAGTTTTACTCAGCTTTACTTTTTATATATTTACAATATATTTAATCCCACGGGAAGTTTTCTTTGAAGCCCTACATTTGCTAACCTTTCTCTAATGGTTCTCTGAGTTTTACTTTTTCATATAGGTGGCAACTCTATGCTTCAATTTATCATTATCTTCTTCTTCTTCTTCTAAGCTTCATTTAATCCCCCTTTATACTTTCTGGAAAGCTTTCATAATCGCCCTACTTTTGTTTTAAGTTTTAGTTATCCAAGTACTTGGCAACCCTATAACAAAATAAGATTCAAACAGACACACAAAATACTTTACCGAAAAAGTACCTCGTCAAACAAAACAGTTTATACGCACAGACATCCCACCAAGTCGATATTCGCAGTTCCGACAAATGAGCACCTTCTGGGGGGAAAAATACAAAAGTACAAAATTTCAGATCGATATCTCAAAAACTGAGGGACTAGTTCGCGTTTATATACATATATACTTTGTACGGTTTTCAACGTTTCCTTCTGGGTATTACATACTTTCTGGTAAACTTAATTTTTTACCTTTGTTAAGATGAGTCATCTCGCGACATAACAATTCATAACAAATTCAATAAAATATTACTCAAGTTTTGGTTTGTTCGAGGGAAATAGAGAAAATACATTTAAAACAGTTAACAGATAAAAATTATTACGCTCTTTTCTAAATATCGGCGAATTCAGAGTGCTCTTGCACTAAATTGTAACAGGTAAAATTATTATGTTGAATTTTTGCTCCAACTTCAAATCCCATTTTAAATCAATCATAAAGTATAAATTCGCTGTAAGGAAATTCAAATGAAAAACTAAAAGAAATTGCAGTAGTCTGAAAATTATTGTGTTATAAAGAAAACTTCGTTGTACAAAAGTTCATAAGAGAGAAGTTGGGCTGTACAGATGTGGTAAGCTTTTATGTTTTCTGAACAACATACCATTTTTATTTACTGCTTTAGTTTTACGCGAAATATTTTGAACACAAATTTCACTAATAGGTGGCACTGTGGTATATATATTTTCCCAAACTGCATTAATAGTAAAAAATTAATAATATTATGAACGTATGTAAATTGATGAGCGTATATAATTTTTGTCATCACAAGTTTTATGAGCATTAAAAATTAAAATTAAATTATTTTCCTATATGCATAATTTCTTTTCTCTTCCTTTCTTTCAGCCCAAATGTTTGCCCATGCAACAACATTTTCAACAAAAGCAGATCAGCTACAATTTGTATTAAAATTTTTCCTGTTTTCCCATAAACACACATAACGGTATATTTCAACATGAAACTGCCACCATCGCTGTGGTGACTCTGTTGACATTTGTGGTTGGAAAAAGTGGATAACTCTTGAAACAGCTTAACATCAAAATCTTGTACTAGATACTAAATAAGATTGGAAGAAATTAATAAACTTGTTATTAGTCGGTTCGCGATTTGTTGGTGGCCTTAAGCGCGTTTTGATATGGACGCCGCCGTCGTGGCTGCCAAAGTCATGCCACCAGCGGCGTGTGCACCAAATTTATGAATGAAATGTGTGCGCGCGCATGCAAGCAGGTGGGTGCTGTTGCTGCCAGTGAAAGCAATGCGAACAGTTGTGTAGGCATAATGTGTAAAATATAACTTTATAAACTTTTGTCAATATACAGCTCGCGGTGTTGATAAGCAGCGCGCCAAGAGCGCCATCAGCAACACAATACGATTGCGTTTGTGTGTGTGCCTGCATAAGTGAGCACTCCGATGAGCATTTGAGTAACTAGACACCACTTATTTCAGCGTCGGCGGCGCATACAGATCGCCTGAGCTTTGTGAAAGTCGGATCTCACCACTTTTGCTTAACCAACACAGCGCTTTGCTTGGCTAAAAGTAACTCCGTAAGCCGAATTTGTTGCAATCCCAGCTCATTCGATGTTTTGTTTGCAAAGTGTCAACGTAAATTATTGAAAATCGGTCGAAATTTTTAATGTGCTATTGTTATACAAATCGGCGAAATGAAATAATGTGCACATTTTAATAAGTGAAGTGTATATATTTTTGAAAATGTAAAAAAGTTAAAAAATTATTGCAGTTTTTTGTCATATATTTTCGAACGGGTAAGAGAAGAGTTAAAATTTTTGTTATTAGAAGTATTGTGATAAAATTTTGGTACTCAAGCATAAATATAAAATCAAGTTTACAACATAAAACGCTGAAAGTGAAGTGAAAATAAATACACAAACAAAACAAAAATGAACAGAAACTATTAAAGCCACTCGATTAAATATTATATAATCTGGGGTTTTTTATTTTATTTCACAATTTCTTATAAACACCCCAGGAAACTAGCAGAAAATTAAGTCAAATATCATATAATATAATGAAAGTCAAGGTTAAAAGTAGCTTTATTTTAATGCATTCTTTCATTATTGAATATTACAGTATAATGTAATGTAGGTAAAATTAGTCAGATAAATTTGATAAAAGGAATATCTTTTAAAACTTCGTCAAAGTTTCCAGACACAACCTTTTGTGACCGAAATTTTTTCTCTTCTGAAATCAGGAATACTTTGTTTGGAGAGCTGCTGCAAAAGTTACAAAAAAAATTATTTGATGCGACGAGTTGAAATCCGAATGACTCTCTGTCTGTCCACCTGTGCAAGCGATACCTTGAGTAAAAATTAAGATATCTTAGTAAAACTTGGTACACGTGTTCCTTGGCAGAAAAGTGAGACCAAGTTCGTAGATGGGCGTACCACTACCACGCCCACCAAACACCATTAAACCAAAATCTATAAAGTGTCATAACTACGCACTTAATAAAGATACAAAACTGTTATTTAGCACAAAGGGTACCTGTGGGTTAAACATTTTGAAAAAATAGGCGTGGCCCAGCCCTCTTTTAAGTTTAATTTACATATCTTCAAAATTACTAAAGCTGCAATAACCAAATTCGCTTAGGACAAAACCTATAAGAACCCTACCGACAGTGTTAAAATGGATGAAATCGGATTATAACCCCGCCCTCTTCCCGTTTATCGGTTTTATTAAAAACTGCTAAAAACTCGATAAATCAATAACTAAATGCTGCAGAAGCATTCAATTTTACAGCCAGGATGATACGAGAATGCTTAATAGGAGCTGGAGTCGAAATTGAACGATGGGCGTGACACCGCCCTCATTTAGGTGAAATCACATATTTCCGGATCTACTCGACCAATCTCAACCAAACTCGGTTCATAACATTATCCTGACAATACACTGTATGCTACACTGTGAAAATGGGAGTATTCGGACTGCAACCACGCTTACTTCCCATATAGAACAATTTTAAATACCATATGATGCTTTCACTTTCCAGTACACAAATCAAGCACCAATGAATACATTCGGATTAAAATTTGCATAAATTGTGTCTTTGAGTAATGCCATCTCGGATGTAAAAATTGTCAAAATCAGACGATAGCTGTTCAAGCCTCCATTTTTCCATTTTGCCGAAAATATGGGTCAATCTGTTGTTCTATTTTATCTTCATTGATAATAATACACCCTTGATTTAAAAATGGGTTGAATCGGAGCAATACTTCCCTTAGCCCCCATATACCAAATCTAAAGATTTTCAAACTTCCAGTTGCCTTTATACCACATGTATCTTATATTAATATAAGAGTTGTTTTAACGAAATTAAAAGAGCGTATTTGTATATCTTTGTACCTTAAATGGATGAAATGGGGCAAAAACTTGCCTTAGCCTCCACATAACTAATATCAAAATTTTCAAACATCCGGTTGACTTTACTCCTTACACATATATTAAATTTTACCTCTTGGGTTGAGTTTATATTGCATATATCTCATTTGTGGATGATTTTAATATAGTTTTCGCTGACGTGAAGTAAAATATAGTTATAAAACTAAGTAAGTGTCTGACTTCAAAATAAGTTAATATGATACCAAATTTGATTGTAATCTATTGACGATTTCGTCGAACAATGAAGTTGAATCTTTACGCTACATTTTGTAATATAAAGTTCTAGCAACACCTGAAGGTATTTAGCTGGTTTTGATCTTTGCAAGGCGCAAGAGTATAAATTTTCGGTTACATCTGAACTTAGCCCTTCCTTACTTGTTTGAAAATGGGTTTATCATTTAATTGAGCTTTTTTAATCTAATTGTATATAGTACAAGTAAAAATAATTCATATATACTATATTGAGTAAACACCATTTCAAATCACCGAGCAATTACATATGATGATCATTCATACAATTAAGTCAAAAAAATTATTTGTTTTTGAAATTTATCAAACATTATATCTTTCTATTATACACAATATTTACACGATGTAAAAAAATGCCAAATTACAACAATTTCCATCATCAAAAGATAAAATATATGCATAACAAACACATTATTAATATACAAGTAAATCAGTTCCATACTTTTTTACTGATCCATTGTACTAAATACATATTTACCTGCAAAAATGAAATCGAAATTGAACGCTAACTTTGAAAAGAGCAGAGCGGAAAGCACCCAAACTATCTACCAACAACTGACTCAGTTCCGATGAAGTCAACGTAATCGATTAAGTAATAGCATTTAATGGTAACTTACATACACCAATAAATGTGTGTGCATACATAGTGCTTAAATAGTCGAATATTAAACACGCTCTCATTAAAGTAAACAAACTGTAATCTATAGTATGCATATACGAGTATACATAGCTAAAACCTATTTACCTTCCTGGTTTTGTTGTGCCCCTTTTCTTTGCCTGGCTACGCTAAATACACGGGTAATAATTGTGCTAATCATAAATGCTCACGCTGGTGGCAACACTCCGCGCCTTCACGCCGCCGCTTTAGCAAGTGAAAGTGAATTTAAAAGCGTATTCCAAAAACAAACAAAAAATAACCAAAACACAAATCTACGAAATTGTTTGCAAAGCGAAATCAACCAAAATAAATGACAGCAAAAACATACAAAAAGAAAAGAAAAAACGAGGAAAACAAAACCAACACAATGCGCAAGTGCAAAAGCGCGCTTGTAAACCGTGAAAATGTGTGTAGTCTGTGTTTTGCTCAGCCTTTATGCGTTGCGGTAAATCAAGCAAAAGAAAAGCATGTGCGATATTTTAAGTGGAAATATGCAAAAATTGCCGCGTTACTTACGACTATATCATATCTTTTTCTAAGTGATGCGCCACAAATGCCTTCATTGTAGTAGATTGTTTCTCAGTCACATAACCTCTATTACAATACTTTGTGCTGTTTCCCTGTTTAATAAACTTTTACTTTGTTAACAGAAAATATTTAGTGCAATAATTCACAAGTGTCAGTGGAGCAGTGTAATATGAAGCGGAGGAATTTGCTGCTGAAGCTGTGCGCATTGCTGACAACGCTGTCATGGCAACTGACAGGTGAGTGTATGATACTCGTAAGCACTTAAAAACAATGCAAATTTATTCGTAACTCATACCTACATTATTATTACAATAAAAAAGGAAAATAAAAATGACATTTTCTGCATTTATGGAAACTCGTGGGAATAGTGTGAATTATGAGGAAAAAATATAAAAATTTAATGGACTATAATGCATTAAAATACCGTTTAGCAAATATATAACCCTTATATGGGTTAAAATAAAAAATTATTCCATTTTAACTGATGAAATATAGAATAATGTAGTTAGCGAAATTTAATTGAATTAACATAATTTCATTTTCACTCAAAAGTAAGTTTAATCCTATTATCGTAACTTCCTGAAAAACGCCTGATTTAAGGTACCTCACATACCATCACCAATCATATGCAGTAAAGTCAGACGAATGTTCGAAAATCCTGATATTAGTTAGTAGTGGGGGCTAGGTAAAATTTTCACCCGATTTGATCCATTTTAGGCACAAAGATTTCTTGTTATGCGTAAAACACGCTCTCTCAATTTTGACACAAAAACACACTATTATCAAGGGGTTTCATTTATTTATTTTATTATATGAATTTCAATTATATATCTTACACATTGACCGATATTTTCGGTAAAAAGTCAACTATAGGCACTGGGGTCCACATATTCAGTACCTAGGGGCTTGAACAGATTTGGTTCGATTTTCGACTTTAAATGCATTATTCACGCAAAGCTTTACCCCGATACAATCATTGTTGCTTGATTTGCCTAGTGAAAAGTGAAAGTGTCAGATTGAACTTAAAATGGTGTTATATGGGAAACTACCACGCCAGTAATCTGATTTCGCACGATAATATAAATATATTAGAAGAATGTTATGTAGCCAATTTGGTTGAAATCGGTTAAGCAGATCCCAAGATATGGAGTTTCACCTAAAAGTGGGTGGTGCCACGCTCACTGTCTAATTTTGAACGCGGTTCCTATAAAAAGGTTTTTAACATTACCATTTTCATACTGTCGATAGAAGTGCTAAAAATATTTGTTCTGTGTTATTATAGCTTTAGCGTTTTAGGAGATATGCGCATTAAACCTATTAGGGGGAGGGACCACGCCCACTTAAAAAAAAATTGTTTCAACTGCAGATGCCCCTTACTAATGTGATCCTGTATACCAAATAACAGTATTGTATCTTTTTATGGATCTTAGTTATGTCAATTTATTTGTTTTTGATTAATGGCGTTTTGTGGGCCCATCTGCAATACCAACCGTCTTACGGTACCAAGAAACATGTGTGTAATATTTCATAACGATATCTCAATTTTTATTCAAGTTACACCTTGCACAGACGGACGGACGGACAGACAGTCACCCGGATTTCAACTCGTCTCTTCACCCTGATCATTTATATATATAGGTATAACCCTATATCTAACTCGATTAGTTTTAGGTAATACAAAGAATCTTTAGGTGAACAAAACTATTATACTCTGTAGCAACATGTTGCGAGAGTATAGAAATGAAAAATATACTACGCCTGGCCAACTCTCACGCTTACATCGTGAAAATGGTGCATTTTTTTCAGGTTAGAGGACAACCACCGCCCACTTTTTAAAGATTTTCAAATCCCAGTTGCCCCACACGATTGCAATCTCCTACACCACATTACAGTTTTGTATCTCTATATGAAGCTTAGTTATAGTACTTTATAGTTTTTCGATAAATGGAGTTTTGAGGGCGTAGCAATGGTCCGATTACGCTCATCTGCATCCCTCCTTGGGTGTCAAGAAACATATGCACCAAGTTTCATCAACATATCTCAATTTTTACTCTTGCACGGACGGACAGTCAACTGGATTAAAACTCGTCTCGTTACCCTGATAATTTATACTCGTATATACATATGTTATATAATCAGATATATAATCTCGGTATAAAATTATCACACACATGAAAAGACCCATAATGTAATATTTATCTACGTATGGCGTGCTAAAAAATATATGTTATACATCAATTTTTCGCATAATAGCGGACTTTTAAAAAAAATTTAATTTTTTACCGAAAGGTTAATATTTGACATTCCGATTGCCATCGTCGCCCTATTTGAAAAAGTTGTGAAGCTGACTGACCCGCACGGTCTTCTTCAGTATTGAATAATGTTTTTGAAAATCCTATACTGGCTTAACCTTTAATATATTTAATAATAACGCACTTCAACACAAGCTTGTAAGCCCCACTAATACACACTTTATCCTTAAAAGAAATCTGCTATAAATTATGTCCACTATCTGTTTACAACGTTTTCAACGTTCAACAACGTTTATGTTATGACACTAATGTTTTGATATAATATCATAACATTCAACGACCACGTAAGTTGTTGTAACGACTACCTCTGAGTAATTAAAACCAAAACCGAAGACCTCAAAAATATCACACACATTCACATATATATTAATTTAGCACGTATGTGTTACATAATGTCTTGTGCAATTGTCACCTACAACATACTACCGTTATACTGTATGTACAGCTAACTCTTCTTAATTATTATAGTTATTCGATGGTAATGTCGATTCGCGTGACGAATATTATAAAGCAGCAAGAAAACAAGTAAAAACAATAAAAAAGCACGAACAAAGTCACATAATCGTGACTACACGAAGGTGTAAATACTCTAAATTATATATTTGTATAAGCGAATGAAATTTCGTTAAAGGTGCCAATTGGCAAGAGGTGTCGATTGGTGTATTCGAAATGTTGAGTTCGGCAATTCGATCACTTAAACACTAAACAATACTAGTCTAAAGAAAAACAAAACCACACGAGTAATAAGCATTTTTGTCGTAACATCAGTGCTTGTAAATTTAGCAGGAGGTTTATAACAAATATGCACAGTTTAAGTACTTGTTGTCAGTACTACATTCACGATTTTAAAAAGTAAAAGTGGTGAAGACGCTGCATGAGTGTATTGAAGAAGCTACAACCCGAAGTACGCATAATATATTGTTTTCCCCTTCCGCCAAAGTGTCATGGGTACTCATTATTTCATTTTAATTACCACGTTAGATTGTTAAAGTACTGTGAGTTGTAATTTTAAATAGTCCGTTTACTAGCTAAAGTCCTTATTAGCTCTAAGGCTCGGTAACTGCACTAAAGATATATGATGTCATGGCAGTTACAAAGAAGAAAAAAATATATTTTAGTTTCTGGTAGCGGAAAAATAGCATTGTTGTATAAAGTCCTTCGCATTATGTAACTTTGTGGGTTTTATTGAATATTTCGCTTAGCCGATAGTAATTGTTTCTATGAAACTACGACAAAAACCATAATCTGAAAGTAGGAGAGCAATTAAACAAGTTGTAAGGAACTTTTTTCGAACTTAATCCTGTCGTTCATTTTATACTTATTGTTAAGCGGTTACATGGGTTTTACGGCTTCAAAAAAAAAATAAATTTTATTGTCACATTTAATTCTATAACATCTCTACAATATTGGTTTAGGTTCTCAAGTTGATATCAGTAAAAGTTTTGGAGATACAGCATTGAAAAGTTGCGCGCTCGAGGTCAGCTATATAGTCACTTTAAATTTTAAAAGCGTTTTTCTCGAAACTGTACTTTCAAAGTCGGTTCTCAAGATTTCCCACGAACTAATCAATCGATCATAATTAAATTTTACACAGGTCTTTAAGATATAATTTACAAGGTCTTGCCGCGGAGGATTTTTTTTGTTCAATTACAATTATTCATAAGCAAAAAACGTTGAGATTTTTTCATTAAAATTGGCATGTTTTTGTAAGAACGTATGCCAAAAATACAATTTTCACTTTTTCTGTTTTTTCTCGGTCCAATACCTAGTTAATGGTCTTAGTTCAAACACGTATTTTTTTCTTTTTACTTTTGATGATCCTGTCAGAAATTCTGCTGTCAACGCAGAAGCACCTTTTATAAAATATGTATCTTTGGAATAATAAAAAGTTTGAATAAAATATTTAATTTTTTATGTGGAAAAAGATATATATTGAAAATAGGAATAATTTTGCTCGACGAAAGACATGTAATCCTTTAATAAGAATATATATAATTATACAGTTGCTAAAGAGATTATGTTCATAATAGAAATTAGGGAATACATCTGAAACATTTCAGCCGACGTTTAACCCCACACGAATTAAATTTATACCCTCAAATTTGAACATAGTTCAAAAACCTATGAGATCAGACGGTGTGTTGTTCAATGGTGACAAAAACGCAGATTTTTTTTTTTATTATTTGGCGAATTTAAAATACATACAACAAAAAAGTAATACCATATTCATGGCATAAAAGTCGGTCGAATTTGTTATGATCGCGCCGCACTCTATATTTGCAGTGCCGCCAAACCTTAATTAGAATTACCTCCGCATCAAAGTAGCGTTACTTTCGCTATTTTTGTTTACAATGAAAAAAAAATTAATTTAATGTTTTGATAAGACATTGTTTCTTGATGGGGCAAATTTGCCGCAACATATTCAACAGTCAAGTTCAAGTTCTGATTTACTGAATTTTGTCTTTATAGTACTAGAACAAATTTAGAAACGCTACAAGAGGCAGTAAGAACACAAAATATGAACATTTTGTTGGTGACGGTCTAATGAAATCAAGTGCCTTGGTTAACTTTAAAGAGAACACTTATAAAAAAAACGAAAATTTCCCGAAACGATGAAAACAAAGCGGTCTCATTTGTCTACAAAAATTGCTCCTCCGCCAAGACAATATTTCGGCACATTCAGCTTGTGACTCAACTAAAGAATTCAAGCATTTACGCTATGAACCAAACTCCTACCGCCCATATTGGTCTGATTTGGCCCGCAACGACTTTTTCTTCTTACCCATACTCAAAAGTGGTTCGCTGGAATTATGTGTCACTTAAATTGGGAGTTTCAGGTGGAAATAATTAGTTATTTTGAAGGTTTCAAAGCGTCACTCTATCGAACCGGTATAAATAAATGCATTATTTTAGATAGGTAATAA